GAAACCACCCAAATGTACTTTGTGCTCCAGTAGGTGACTGATTGAACAAACTGTTGTACAAATATACCACTGGGTAGTACTTAATAGTAAAATAATTTAAAAGCTATTGATGTACACAACAACTTAGATCAATTACAAATTCAAGGGAATTTTGTTAAGGTAAAAAACCAATCTAGAAAGTTTATATATTGTATGATTCTATTTATATAACATTCTTTGAATGACAAAATTACATAGATAGAAAGCAAATTAGAAATTGTAAGAGGCTAGAGATAGTGGCCTAGCTGTGCTAATGTGATATATCAAGGTATAAATAGCTTTGTTTCTTGATTATGATATGGTTACAGAAATGTACACATGTGATAACATGACCTAGAGCCAACGTGCACACATTGAACCAAAATCAGATTTCTGGTTTCCATATTGTGCCATGATTATGTAAAATTTACTCATTGGGGGAAATGAAGTGAAGAGTATATGGAACCATTGTATTATCTTTGCACCTGTCTGTGGCTCTATAATAATTTTAAAATTAAAAAAATAGAAATTATTGTCTGCAAACTTTTCACATTGTTAATCCCTTGGGAGATGAGAAATTTTGTTGAAGAGTTTTATGTTCATAAGACAGTGACTATTTTCATCATTCTCTTTATCTGTCACATAAATAACAGAGTAGGTCTTTTTCCAAGGACTGACCCCTTTAAGCAACCTGCCCAGAATCTGTGAGACAAACCGTCACCATCTTGCCTCTAAGGAGTTGTATTTTCTCCAAGATACTTTTTTTTTGGGGGGGGGGGGAGTCCATAGGATATTCCATTTTCTCTACCACCACAACTCAAAGACATCGATTCCTTTTCTGTCATCCTTAGTCATTGACCAGCTTCAAGATGGAGATAGCAATCAAAAGACCATTATTTCAATCACGTGTACCTTAGTCTTGCAGCTAGCACCGTTGCTCTTAATACCTTGGAGAGGTCCTTAACAGTAGATTTTCTTAATGCAAGTATCCTAGAATGCTGGTTATGCTCATATAAAACCTATATGTAGACCAAGAAGCTGTTGTCCAAACAAACGAAGGGAACACTGTATGGTTTCAAATGAAGAAAGGTGTGTGTCAGGGTTGCATTCTTTCTCCATACTGTGTGCTGAGCAAATCATTCGAGAAGCTATTCTCTGTGAAGAAAAATATGACATCAGAATCAGGAAGACTTTTCAACAATCTGTGTTGTGCAGATGATACAACCTTGCTTGCTAAAATAAAAGTAAGAAGGACTTGAAGTGCTTGCTCAGATCAAAGACTACAGCCTTTAATTTGGATTACATCCCAACATTAAGAAAACAAAAATCTTCACTACTGGACCTATAGGCAACATTATGATGTTTGTTGTTGTTATGTGCTGTCGAGTCACTTGCGACTCATAGCGACCCTATGTACAACAGCCCTAACCCCTGCTCTATCCTGTGCCAGTCGCACTGCCTCTGACACACCCATCCTGATTACCCCAGTCACTGAATCAATCCACCTCATAGAGGGTTTTCCCCTCTTGTGCCGTCCTCCCACCCTCCCAAGCATGATGTCCCTCTCCAAGGACTCGTCCCTCCTTATAACATGTCCAAAGTATGTCAGATGAAGCCCCAGAATCCTTGCCTCCAAGGAGCAGCCTGGTTTAACCCTCTCCAGGATGAATCTCTTTGTTTTCTAGACAGTCCAAGATACATTCAATACTCTTCTCCAGCACCACAGCTCAAAGGCATCAATTCTCCTACTGTCCTTCTTAGTCATCATTATGTATCCTCTCTGATGCATAACGAGTGATTGCAAAGACCATAGCCTGTATCAGACACACCTAAGTCTCCAGAGTGACACCATTGCTCTTCAGTACCCTAACAGCAGACTTTCCCATCGCAGTACATTTTTTTATTTCCTGGCTACTGGTGCTAAGAGTGTTGACCATGGAGCCAAGCAGACTGAAGTTGTTAACAATCTCAATCTCTTCAGCATCCATCCTGATGCTGCCAGTTGGTCCAGTGGTGAGAATCTTTGTCTTCCTGACATTAAGCCTCAATCCATACTGAAGGCACCAGTCTTGACCCTCTGCAGCAAGCATTTCAGGTCCTCCTCAGTTTCAGCAAGCAAGTTGTACCCTATATACAAGAGAACATCATGATAGATGAAGAAAAAATTGAAATTGTCAACAGTTTTCATTTCTCTTGAATCAGTACCCCTGGTGGTTCCAGCTATCAGGAGATCCAGTGACGTGCATTGGAAAAGTCTGTAGTCAAGGACTGCTCCAAATTGCTTAGAAGCAATGATGTGAGTTTGAAGACTACGGTGCACTTGATTCAAGTCATAGGGTTTTTTCCAATCACTTGCTATGTATCTGAGAGTGACATTGAATAAGAATGTCAGAGAAAAATTAATGCCTTTAAATTATGGTGTTGGAGGAGAGTTCTGAATATCGCATGGACTGTCAAAAGAACAAGTAGATACGTCTTGGAGAAAGAACAGCTAAAGTGCTCCTTGGAGGTAATGCTATTGAAGCTTCATCTCACATACTCTGGGCATAGTGTTAGCAGAGACTATTCCTTAAAGAGGGGCATTATGCTTGGAAAGGTAGAGAGTCAGTGAAAAAGAGGAAAACCTTCAATGAGATGGACTGAGACAGTGACTGCAGCAATGGGCTCAAGTATAACAGAAATTATGAGGTTGGCACAGGATAGGACTGGGTTCAGATATGTTATTCATAGAGTGGCTATGAATCATACTTGACTAGATGGCACCTATCAACTAACAACAATACATTTCTTTACCACTGGTACCAAGGGTGTTGATTTTGGACTCGAGCAGTACACTAGGATGAATAATCATAGATAATGAAAATTAAAATGAGTTTTGAATTTTGGGAAGAGTCAAGTCCTAGCTGAAATGTATATTCCACATTAAAAGAAAAGGAGAATATTGTTGGCAAAACCCTTGTGTGACTGTTTACCATGCTACCCTTAAGTCTCTGCATTGTGTTTCTGGTCTCAGTCGTTCTGTACAGTTATTTGTATATTTGTGTTTGTCTGTATCAATCTATCTATGTATCTATCTATCTATCTCAATTTCCTTTCCCAATTCCTCTTTTCTTCATGATCATTCTAAAAACAAAAATTTTTAAATGTAGTCCAATAGAAAAGAAAAACTTAAAGCCCTAAGGAGGTTTTTTGCCTGTTTGAAAATAGCGATTCTCTTGCTCCATCATGCTTAGGCTTTAGCCCTGGGCAGGCTCTGTAGCCCACAGTCTCACAGTCCTGACCTGTACTCTGAAAGAGCTTTGGACTTCAGAGTATTTTAAATAGTCTCTTTTTCTGCTCCCAGTGACAGTTCCCCCATTTCCTAATCTTTCCTACTTAACCTAGTTTCCTCCCCCCACTTCCTATTGTTTCCTACTTAACCTAGTTTCCTCTCCAAGTAATTATTTTTATTATTTTCTCACAAAGAGATTAAAAACACAGACCCAGAAATATGACTATCTTGGCTTGAGCTTGGCAGCATAGAGGATTTTTAAGCCCTCTGTGCCTCAGTTTCCTCATCAATAAATAGTACTTTCCTCAAAGGGATGTTGCAAGGTGCTGCCAAGTTAGCTGTGACTCATAGTCACCCTGTGTACAACAGAAAAAAGCCTCCTCTGACCCTGTGCCGAGCGGATTAAATGATGAGCTCACCAAACAGCACAGAGTGCCCTCAGGTGTTATTGTTTATGTCTATAGACATTCAGTTGGTTTTTACCTGACTTGCCGATGATTTCATGGCTCCCCTGTCTCTAAAGTAACTTGCCCCGCAGCTCTTTGTCTCCTCTGGATTTTCTTTTACAGATCCTGTTGGTACCTTGGCTTTGGTGGCAGGGTACCTTGTTGATGGGGCTTGAGGAAAAATCCTGTTTTCTTGCCTGCGATACACTGCTGTCGTCATCATCATTACTGCTAATATCACTACAGCTGTAAGATGGTAGTAGACACAGCAAGAATGTCATATTCTTTTTAAAGGATAAGACGGTTAATGGCATCTTTTACCATGATGGCGCATGAGGGCCTGAATTCACCTAAGTAAACTGAAGATAAGTGGAAAGATGAGTTATAACCAAACCCCAACTCTTCTGTTTCCACTTGAGCCCATTCATTAAACCACAGTATTAAATTCTTAATAAAACTATGAAAAAAAACCACCCAGCCATTGAGTCTGTTCCAACTCATAGTGATCTCCCCCTCCATTGTGTTTCTAAGACAGTAAATCTTTATGAGAGGAGACTGCCCATCTTTCTCCCCACTGAGCAACTGGTGGATTTGAACTGACGACCTTTGGGTTAGCAGCCCAACTTTACATCCTATGTTATCCCAACTCCTTTACTATGGACTAAGTACTAGGTAAATACATTTTAAAATAGCCCTTGATTTCAAGAATTCACAGACTAACAGGGGAAAGCAGATTCAATGGCAAATATGCCTTGGGAATTTTGAAAACACATGTCAGAGATTTCTGATGCTCTACCATCAGTGCCAGAATCCCCTGGGAGCTTATTCGAAATTGAGACTTTTTTGACAATGTTTACCAGTTCTCCAGAAGATTCTTGGGCCCACAGAAACTGAGAAGTACAGTGATTGGCCTGATGAAGTCTGGTAACAAATACCCAGGACATGTAGGTTTTCCCATCTGTTGTAGTTCTACAAAGCAGCCCTCTATTGTAGTGCAGTGCTCACAGCTACAGTCCATGGAGTAGGCTGCTCCTACAAAAGCTATGTTGCTACTTTCTGGAATGTTTTTGAGCTTCCAGAAGCCTCAGGACTGTCGCGCGCCGGCTAACTGCTTTGCTGCTGGAGCTCTTAACTTGAAGCTCCAGTTAAGACCCTGGCAAGCCTGGCAGGCTGACGTATGTGGGAATAGTGGGAGTGACCCCTGTCTGGGAAGTGGGGGAGTCCTGCATATTGTTTCTCCTGTTTCTGTGTCCTGCTGCTCTCTTCCCTGGGCTCAGAGCTCTCCAGCACTCCCTGTGAGAGGAGACTGTGAGATGGCATTCCCTGGGAGAGTACGCCCCTATGCTATCCCAGAAAATGAAGAAATCCCCCAGACGCTCCTTAACAATGTCCATGAAGCTAATGGGAATGAAGATGAGAGGGCTGTGTCCAAACTGCAGCGCAGACACAGTGACGTAAAAGTCTACAAGGAGTTTTGTGACTTTTATGCGAAATTGTAAGTGTCTCTTCTCCCAGAGAACTACTCTTCCACGTTCTTGAACTTTCAGTTCACTGACCATTTTGACATGACCAATACTGTTTTATCTACTTTACTGTCAATGACAGTATTTGTTTCTATGGGGAAGATAGTCTTGTCATGTTAAAAACTTGGACGAGATGAAAAGTAGATGTGACTGAACATGTTACCTTTTCAGTCTTTGTCTTCATTATATCCTAATAATAGTAGACATTTTCATTATAGAGTCTAAATAAAGATAGATGTAGAATTTTCATTGAGAGACTTTATACTTGAAAACTTAATGAAGACAGGAGTTTTGCATAAAGAATATTGGTTAAAAACAGAATTTAAAACTGTTTATAAAGAAGTAAGTTTTTATTATGTCAAACAATCGAATTTGAAGTGGGCTGATTTGGCTTAAAATTCTGTCTTGAAAGGATTGAATAAAGAAATAAGGATAAAGTGTAAAATTATAAATCTTTAGACTAAATAAATGACAACAGGTTTGTTGTGGTTGTTTTAATACCCCTTAATAATTAAGGGGTAAAGAAAAGTTACCGACTTGGCTTTCTATATCCCTAATTTTTCTGTTTGTTACTGTAACAGATATAATTTAGCCTCACAATTCATGAATAGGTCTATTTTAGAATAACCAGGAAATTGTCATTTTACAGTAACCAATATTTTAACTACTTAGTGAAATCTCAGGATGATTTTTAGATTTATACATTGTTGGATTTTATGACTATGGATTATGAGTTCTGCATACTATCTTTAATAAGTAAAGATTTTACTAATGGAAAGCTAGATGATATAGCAAGCTTTCTATGTGAGAATAATTTGTAGGAATAAAATAAATTAGTTATGTTTGGCAAGTTATGAAGATTCTACACACACACATATTTTGTCATTCAGATTTTTAATGAAAACAGTTGTTTTTTTCTGTCTGAAGAAGTTGCAAGTAATTATGACTGAGCAACAGCTCTAACTTTTGTTTAATTCTGTGATAGATACCAATCATGCCTTAAAAAGTAACATCATTATTAAGTGGAGAGTTAACTATTAAAAAGCAACAACATAAGACTGTGAAAGGTCAAAGACCAGAAGGAAACATTAAGTAGTTTAAAATGGTAGGATGTTGTTAGATGTTGTCAGTTCTTCCGACTCAGAGAGACCCTGTGTAGACAAGAATGAACCCTGAGTGCTTCTGCACCAGCCTCACTTGTGCTAGAAGGTCATTTGTTGCAGTCAGAATAGTGAAACAGCTTATACCTTTTCTCTCTGGAAAGTTTCTTTTAATATTCTTGTCTTCTATTTTCTTTTCAATCTTCTCTCTTTTCCTTTCTCTTTGACTTATTATTTAAAAATATAACCTTGAAAAATCACATGCTACATTATTTTCTAAAACAAATTCCTTGATTTCTTTTCTGTGAGAGAAAAAAAACAAAACAAAACAAAAAACAACCCTATAAGCTTGCTTTTTTATTATGTCTGCCTGGTTCCTAATTCTGAGTATTTGGACTATCTATAACACAGTCAAAGCACCTGGTGGACAGATTTTAGCAGAACTCGTGTACTGAGAGACTAGGAAGAAAGGCACCGTGAAATGCTTCCACAAACTTGCCAGTCAAAACTTGATAGATCACAAAAATATGGTCCAGTATAGTGCTGGAAAATGAGCCCTTAGGTTGGAGGACACTCAAAATACACACAGCAGCTGCCACAATGAACTCCAGCAGACCAGTTATTGTGAAGAAGTTGCCGCACTAGGTGCTCCCCTTTCCTGTTCTACGAGGATCACTGTGAAGCGGAGCCAACATGACAGCAACTAACAACAATACCGTAATATCATTAAATACAAACGCTTCAGTGATTATCACATTTTTTGAATGCCACTTTTCATAATTAAAAATTACCAAGGCTATTATTGTTTTAACAGTATTTTAATGTATTACTAAGGAAAACTGAAAAAACTTATAGAGTATCAGTTAATTTCAAAATAACAGGCTGGTTACATGTTAATATTAACATTTTTCTATAAAACAACTATGCAGGCGACTCACCAGCACATAACAACAAAATATTATATTGCTTGGGTTTGTGTTTTTTTTTTTTTTGCTTTTTGTTTGTTTGTTTTATTTTATTTAAGCCTCTTGTTTAGAGTCAGTACGACCTCAGGAAGGGCCTTTGCATTTAAAGTTGGTTGTTATTATATTTTGGAGGAACATACTTCTAAGTGGTACAGCATTCTTCTGTTAATATGCTGGAGTGAGGTAACCTGGGTTTGCTGTGATGCTGAACCTTGTGCAGTTGGGGTCTCAAATGCCATAACAGTTACCCGTAGAAGACAGTGTTTGGTGGAGCTCCCAGTTTAAGACAGGTTTGAAAGCAGAACTGGCATCCACTTCCTAAACAGTTTGCCTCTGGATACTCTATGAACATTGAAAAATGTCAATAGTTAATACAAAGGCTTCAGGCCTTTTGTTCATAGGGTCACTCTGCTCGACTTTACGGCAATCAACAACATAAAACAACTGAACAAATCAGTTGGGGGGAAAGGCCTTGTTTTACAACAATTTTTACAACTCTTGTTAATATCTGTCTTTATAGAAAATAGATTCTTAGATCTGTTTCTGCGTTCAGCCTATTAGCTTGTTTCACATGCAGTATATGAAGAAAACATGTCTTCTCATAGGCATATAGTTGAAAAGCGAGGACCGGGCAGACCTCTGAGAGGTTCACAGTGACTCCACACTTTCAGAATTGCTGATCTGTCAGAACATTTCAGAGTAGACTGTATCTGTTATGATCTTGGATAACTGGTTGAATCTTTTTGAGAGGGTTTGTTGTTTTTGGTGCTTGGTTCATTTGTTTTAACAAAAAACTAGCACCTTATTATGTAAACGTATGTTACATTTTAAAATTTAAACCATTTGTGGAGTTTTTAAACATAAAATTTTTATTTTATATTGCTTTGCTTACGAAGTTTGTATACCTTGTTTTTCACACTGTCTTCATTCACATTGTGTTTCATATAACCAACTCCCATTCATTATATTTATAAAATTAATAGAGAAATATGTCCACTATTGCCTTGTCTTTCCAGATCCCTTCTGAATCTCTAGTCATCAAATTGTACGACTCTTTTGATTAGCCCCCTGCTCATCCTCACCCTTCTGCTCCTACCCACCCCCCTCTTGGATCTTCATACATGTTTTACTAGTTATCTTTCTATTTCTACAATAATGGTATAATACAGTATTTATCCCTATAGGAATGAATCAGTTCATTTAGCATAATTCTCTCCAGTCCCTCCCAGGTTATATATAATAATTTCAAAATCATTGCTCCTGCATACTGCATAGTATTCCATTTCATGAATGTACCACAATTTCTCAGTGCATTTGATAGTGATTGGACATTTGGGCTGTTTCCATGCTCTTGCAGGGGTGAGTAATGCTGCAGTGAACATTGATGTACTAATCTCCATTTGTGCCTCTGTTATAATTTTCTTGGAGTGTGTTCCAATCTGTGGAATAGCTGGGTCATATGGAATTTCTGTGTTCAGCTTTCTGAGGAAGCGCCAATCTGCCTTCAAGAGTGGTTGTACCATTCTACAATCCCGCCAACAGTGTATGAGTTCCTATCTCTCCACATCCTCTCCAATATTTATTACTTACTGTTCTATTCAACTTTGCCACTGCTACTGGGGTGAAATAGTTTCTTGAGGTATTGATTTGCATCTCTTATTGCTAGTGATTTTGAACATTTCTTGTGTCTGTTGGCCATCTAAATGTCTTCCTCTGTGAAAGGGATTTCCATGTCAAAGTCGATTTTTAAATACACTTTTCCTTGTCTCATTCTCAGAGTACTGAAGGTTCATTAGAGGTGATGAGTAATTCTACACTCTTTACCAAGGGATGCCTGTGGATTTTTATCAAAGGGAGGCTCTTCATAATTTGTAAAAATGGCCCAATTTACCTCGTTTGTTTGATGAAAAAGGCACTTTTACAAATTTTCATCCAACCCACAATAATTTTGAAGTGGTGGTGCTTTTCTTTCCTATAATAAAGCTGATAGGGTTGCCTAAGGTCTTGAATAATTTTGCCAAGTAATGAAGTTCTTTCCTCCTATTTAATTCTAAAATGTTACACCCAATGTATATTTGTTCTCATTCTCAAAAAAAGGTGATCTAACAGAATGTGCAGATTATCAAATATCATTAATATCACATGCAAGTAAAAACCTGCATGTGATATTAATCACTAAGAGTGGGCTCAAGTATATCAGATGATGAGGATGACACAAGATGGCAAGATTTATATCCATTGTTCATAGGGTCGCTGTGAGTCATAGTCAGCTCAGTGGCACATTACAACAATAATATCCAATCCTACTAAATAAATAATGGTTTTGTTGATACAGGGTTATGAACTTGGCATTTCTGCATGGAGTTACATTAGGCAAGACTGCAGAATAACTTTGAGAAAAGTTAAAAAACTTGAGAGAAGTTTAAAAAGTTGAGAAAAGCTACAGCATTGTCTTCCACTGGGGAGGACCTTGTTGGAAGGTGGGAGGAAAGGATGAAGTGTGGTAATTGTGATCATTTTTACACTGACGTGTTAGAGTTCCCTAAAGAAATAGCAAGATTTGAAAGCTGATAGTGGGCTTTCAAACTGTTGTTGTTATGTACCATCAAGTTGCCTGTGACTCATAATAATCCTATGTACAGATCCTTTTTTTTTTTTTTTTCAAAATTGGTAAGGGTGTATGCCAGGGACATATCCTATCTCCATAATTTTCTTTTTTTAATTTTTCATTAAATTTATTAATTTTAATGAACATTTACAGAAATTTTAGATTTCCATTTATTCATTGTTGCACTATTTTCTCTGCTGTACAAAAGCTTTGAAGCCTGCCCTGTCCTGATCAGTTTCACCAACACTGATACACGTACCCTCATTGCCCTTGTTACTGTATCAGTCCATCTCATCTGGGGTCTTCCTCTTTTGTGCTGTGCCTCCACCCTTCCAAGCATGATGTCCTTCTCCAAGGATCGGTCGGTCCCCACCTGGCCATGTACCCAAAGTATGTGAGATGGAGCTTCAAAATCCTAGCCTCCAAGGAGAAACTTGGTTTCACCATCTCCAAGACAGACCTCTTTGTTTTCTTGGTGGTACATGGTATGTTCAAGACTCTTCTCCACTACCATAACTCAAAGGCATCCATTCTTTGATAATTCTTAGTCATCATCCAGCTCTTTGATGCATAGCAAGTAATTGCGAAGGCCATGGCCTATCTATAAAATAGAGAATTTCTGTTTCACCTACCAAGTACCTCCTTCCACTTTGAGTCTGTTTAGAAACAAAATAATTTCATATGAAATCCAGGGAGCCTGCACAATGGTTAGATAGAGTTTAGAACCACTTACTGACATCATTGGATGTCTTCCATGTGTTTTAAGGTATAGTGGAATTAGTTTACATAAGAATCACCCGGGATCTTGCTGCACTGTAGATTGTGACTCATTATATCAGGTGAAAAGACAATTTCTTGGGAGGGAGTAGAACCAGAATGAATATGTTTGAAGCCGAGAGAATTACCCAAATTACTAGTGACGTCAGTATGTTACTTGATTGTTCTGGTTTCATGTTCCTGATTTGTCAAACTTGGGGTTTGCCTACCATATCTTTTCACGTGTTGGAAATTAAAATCTGTTTTGTTACCTTATAGGACTAGTATTACAATTCTATAAGCTGGGTGAACTGAATTCTAATCCTTTGTCTTCCTTGCTTTGTGACTTGACTCTTGGCTAGTCACTTTTCCTTTATGAAGCCACACTTCATCATCTATAAAGTTATTTCGGTAACACAATGTAATATTCTGTGATTTTTTAAGATAATATATTAGTTCCCAGATATTCAGTAATACTAGTGTTCATTTTTTGTCTTCAAAAAAAAACCTCAAAACTCCAACTCATTACCATTGAGTCAGAACCAACTTATAGCTGACCCTCCAGCTTGGTTTTCAGAGACTGTAACTTGCATGGGAGATTGCCTGTCTTTCACCTACAGAGTCACTGATGGATTCAAACCACATGCCTTTGAATTGACAGAGCAATCCCCTGCCCACTAGGACACCAGTGCAGCTATTACTATGACTAAGGCAGCTCTTAATCCATCTCTTGCACTGTCCTTGCACCCTTCCAAGCATGATGTCCTTCCCCATGGGTCACATGCCCAAAGTATGTGCGATAGAGCTTCAAATTCCTCACCTTCAGGGGGCATCTCCAGGACAGAACTGTTTGTTTTCTTGGCAGTCTAGGAAGAGATGGACTGACTCAGTGACTGGAGAAATGGGGTTAGGTCTGTCAGAACTGATGAGATTGGCTCAGCATAGGTTAAGATTCAGAGCTATTGTACGTGTGCCACTATTAGTCGCAGGCAACTCAACGGCACATAACAACAGGGCATCTTTACTAGTTACATGAGTTATTTAAGTAGTTGCTTTTGACAAAGTTTAACAAAAAATAACATTACTAGGACATGATATGACTTTCAGTTGACATGCAGTTTAGAGTCTGGTCTCAGAGGATAAGTTAAAATACATTAGAGTATTTTAATTAAACTACTTATCAAGCATTAAACTTGAACTCCTTGAGGATCCCTCTTTGTTTTTTTACCTTTCTCCCATACATCTAGTGTACAGTATGCACTTACTCACTGTGTGTTTAGTAATCAGAGTGCTATGTTAAGAGACATGCACAGTCAAGACAGGAGGCTCTTTCCAATCCTAAGAAACTGGGATAAAGAGACTGGAACAATTTGAGTTAGGTACTTAAATTCTCATTGCCACCTAGTTGAAACTGACTTATGGTTGACCTTCTAGTGGGTTTTTGGAGGCTATAAATCACATGCGAGGAGATTGTCATTATTCTCCTTCAGAGCCACTGGTGAATTCAGGCCACTAGAGAGGCACTATCTTGTACTTAGTACATGCAGGAAATAAATATTTCTTCTCTTTTATTTTCTTTTCGCTTCTTTTCCTTTTCCTCTTTCTTTTCTTTCTTTCTTTATAAATAGGATTTTTGTAACCAAAATAAATTTTCTGCTCAGATCTTTGTGCTGTTAGCGCTTAAATCGGATACATGGTTGACAATTCGTGACTTTTCTGTCCTTTTTGTTACAGCAACATGGCCAATGCCTTGGCCAATGCTACCTGTGAGCGCTGTAAAGGAGGCTTTGCGCCTGCTGAGAAGATAGTGAACAGTAACGGCGAGCTGTACCATGAGCAGTGCTTTGTGTGTGCACAATGCTTCCAACAGTTCCCAGAAGGACTCTTCTATGAGGTGAGTCACCCTGCACAGAAGTGTAAAGGTATTTCCCTTCCCTTTCTTTCCCCTTTTTAAGGCCTCTCTCTTCACTGTAAAATTCCATATTAAAGATTATATTTAAATAACTGAGAGAATGCTGCTATTTGTGAGGGCAGTGATTTCACATGTGAAATATGTGCTAACTGCTCAGAAGAGCTACTATACCAAACCCCTCCATTTATCTCTGTTAATTCACTTTCCTATTTTAAAACTCCTATCATCTTAAAATTTGACTTATCAGGCCTAATCCAATTTAGCCTACAAAAATCCTTTCATAAGCTTCATCCACCAATTTTTTAGCTTTTCTACTTAGCCCCTTCTCCTCATATATCTTGCTGATTCGTGGACACTGTTTCTAAATGAGTATCTGCTACCTGTTCTATAGCTTTCACTGAGTGACTGTCTTCTTTCTACTGATTCATATTACCTCACTAAATGGCATTTTTATGTTTTGCCGTTCTTCTCTGATTAAATGGGTGTGTTCTGTTTTCCTAGCACTCTCTACAGAGTAGTTACTCAGGAATTGTTTCTCAGGCAGAGAACAAATATCAAAAAGATGGCTAGATTTCTATAACCCTGAATAGACGCTTCTAGACATTTATTTTCTAAAGAAGGTCTTGTTTGGAAATTCTTTTGGGGTGATACAGTGTCTGTATTTAGCTCTTCTCTGTATCTTACTCTCTTTCCTTTTTTAGACACATGATTTTCTTGATTCTCAGGTGATACTTTACACTCCTTTGTATTCTCACCACTGTGGAAACCCTTTTCTCACAATAAATGTATTGCAAATGAAAAGTAAGAGCAGTACATAAATGTGTGTAAGAGAAATAAAAACAATTTGTTTTACCAATGCAATCTTTGTATAACCATATTTTATATACATAAAAGTTTTGTCTGTTTCTCTATATGGTCATGTATGTCTGTACGATTATAGTCATAGATCACTGCTCTTTGACGTCTACTTTTGTTGAATAGATTAATAAATTTCCCAGTTTTACAACCACTCCTGAGAAAGGAAAGGTAGTTTTAAAAGTCATTAGTAAGTCAATTGTTTGGCACTTTGGCAACATTTTCCATTAGAAACAATGCCATACATGGCAGTGAAGTCCCAGGCCAGCCCACAGCAATACTGTTTAACCCATTGTGAGCAGGTGAAAGTACCGAATTTCCATATATAGTAATATAACTATGGGAAACAACTTTATAAACTTCGGTTAGAGAATGTAAATGTACTTCTATCACAAGCACACATTTCTTGAGCTCCTAGGGACGTCATGCTTGGGAAGGTGTAGGGATGGCGAAGAAGAGGAAAACCTTCAACCAGATGGATTCACACAGGGACTGCAGCAGTGGACTTGAGGGTGTCGGAGATTGGGAGGCTGGCACAGGATAGGACAGGGCTCAGATCTGCTCTTCATAGGGTCGCTGTGAGTTGTACATGACTCGATGGCACCTAACAACAACAGCTAGTGCTAGAAATATCCATTTCCTACAATAAAAATCTTAGCATTGTGAGTAAGACTTCTTTTTTCTTTTGCTTTTCCTTAACTCTTAACTCCCTGGGCAGCAGGAATGTAAAATAGCAGTTATGGGATGGGAGGGGGTAGGAAAGGTGCCACCAGCTGGAGGCAAGAGCATAGGAAGAGAGGCTTCCAGGAGGTATGTGCATGCTGACAACAGGCATAGGGTTGTTGGCGGGGGTTGGGGGTGAAGCTGGGATTGATAACAAAGAGGGCAGCAACTGAAGAAGGATGTGGTCTAGAGTCATGATGAAGAAAAGGAAAACCCTGCAGGCGGAGGCTGCAGTAAGACAAAGAGGAATCTTTGTAATATTGGTCGTGAGGTGGGCAGTTAACTCATTTTGGGTCAGATAATCTTGAGAAGTTGCTTCCATTGAATAGAGATGAAACATTTTTAATATCAGCCACAAGTGGAGGCCTGCCAGCCAGGCCTGTGGCAGATAAAAAAGTATTTCCAAAGCACATTTAAAGGAATAATAGAAATCAGATTCTAGAGGGAAAAGTTTTCATATTGTATTGTATTAATTGTTTAAACCTTAATTACACTACCTCTTTTTGTTGTTGTTGTTGTTTTGAGTTTGTTTTTGTTTGTTTGCTTTGTTTTTTTAGGTTTTTTGAGACACGGAAAGATTGAAATGCCCTTGATAACACAGCTGCTGTTTTATGACATGACTAGGATTAGAACCTAATCCTAAATTAGAACATAATTTGTCTCCCAATAGCAGATATAGTATCTTTCTCCTTATATGATGTTGTGGGATTCCCTCCCCGCACCCACAATTGTAAGATAACTTCATTGAGACGTGTGATGATGGCAGATGCAGATTATAGAATCTCCGGAGAGATTCTGAAAGAGTAAATGAGAAGAACTCAGAGAAACAGGTCTTGTTTCCTAAACATACTGTTTCTCTGCCTGCTGGTGCTTTTGAGAGTACCGTGTAGCTCCTACCCGTTAGAATTTTCTTTTTCCTATGTTGTCCTTTGCCTGCAACTTTGAGATAAATAATATTGTTAAGCTATTTCCATTAATGAACATGACCACTGCATAAACACATAGTTCCATATTTGGGATCTGTAATCTGCAAAGCCATTTATGCTTAGTCAGAGGGAAAGAGGCTCTTAACAGCCTTGAATAGAACAGAATAAGCATGACTCACCCGTGTTCTCCTGCCCACTCACTTAATGCTACCCTTTACTTCTCTTGGTTTGTCTGATAATATTCTGAAAGAGGTTAAAATACCCAGAACTAGTCTCTTGCCTCAACTTAAGCTCTCTTAGACCTTGAGGGAGATTCCTATTTCAGTCACACATTTTACTATTAAAACTACTGTTCTAGGCCAGAGATTTGGAAACTTGCATGGGAGAAAAAAGCTTTTTCCTTTTAGATGAATAGTTGGAGAGAAAGGCTTGTAATTGGGGAGATGTTTACAAAACAAGGTACCTTCTCAGTTGTGCTCCGCCCCCCATAAATTGTGTTCTAGAAAAGGAAGCTTGAAAATGTATCTGCTTTGCTTTCTGTTTTCTGTTTGAGTTTAGGCTAATGTGCTTTTGTCTGGATGATGGTAATAGCAAATATATTTTTTCCACTCTATATGTTATTATGTACATCTTATTATCAAAACATAATCTTCTTATTTTTACAGCCTTCACTATTTTCTGTAAAGAACTGACTTTGAAGACTTAAGTGAATTCTCTGCATTCATACATACACCCCTCCTCTCCACCCCCGCCTTGAAAATATGATTCACTTTTGCTGTAAAACTTCCTGATTCTTTGAGTCAGCCAAAGCATTCTTCCCCTTTGGCCACAAATGCTAACCTAGATTTAGACTATTGTTTCCCACCTTCTCTTTAGAACGTGTGTGCAGAGATAAACACAAGAATTTCAGTCTGCAGTTCTTCTTAGGTGTGATAATAGCAGCAGCTAGGATTCTTACCCTATTGACATCTTACTCCTGTGAACTTGAATCTCATCAGGTGGTGTGGTTTAAGAAATAAGTCTAATGAAAAACACATGTGCTTATGAGTTAGTTAAATGGATTTAAAAAATGAGCAACAACAAAAAGCCTAATGTTTGACTTTAAGATTATCGTGTATTTCCACAGAAGAGGGTAAATTCATTGATTCTTGTACTATGCAGTGTTTGTGGTCAATAAGGAGTAGTTTACCCAAGATGGTTTTTATTATCAGACACTGTTAGTAGTATTTTCAGCTTGATTTATCTGTTTAATTTGTTGGGTTTTTTCCTGGGTTCATATAGCACTTTGTTTATATTTCTAGTATTGCTATCTTTTATTCTTGATTTAATTCTTTTGGAAGAAAATGAAAAATAGAGTAAAATTTGATAACACATGAAAATTACCCTAAATTCAAATGTCAGTGTTTGTAAAAAATACTTATTGAAACATAGCGATGTTCTTTCATTTCCAACTTGTCTATGACTACTTACTTGCTCACTAAAACCATAAAGTTGAATAGTTAATACAGAAACCATATGACCCACAGCACCTAACATATGAGCTATTTAATGTCACAACCTCTTAGTCTTAGCAGATGTGTAGTTTAATATCAAGAGATGTCTGGTAAAGAGTATATGGGAACCCTTTTATTTTTGCAACTATTCTGTAAATCTAAAATTATTTCAGCCATCCTCAAAATCTCCCATAGGCTTGACCATATTATTACAGTCACTGTGTTAATCCATCTTGTTAAAAGTCTCCCTCTCCTCCACCTTCCTCTCTTCCACCTTTCCTAACATGAAATCTATTTTTGAAGGACGGGCTCCTGACTGCAGACCCAAAATATGTGAGATGAAGTTTCACCTTCCTTGCCTGTAAGAAGCAACCTGGTTGTACTTCCTCCAAGACAGACTTGTTTGCTCTTTGACAGTCCATGAAATATTCAGTATTACTCACCAGCACAATTCAGAGGCATCTGGTTGTTTTTTTTTTCAGTGTCCAACTTTCAGATGCATAGAAAACAATTGAAAAACAGCAAAGCTTGGATCAGGCTAGATTAGCACTTTGGAGTTATCACTGATAGCAGATTAGTGAGTTCTCCATAGATGAGAGGAACAAGGTTGAACAATGCTAAAAAGCCATTAAAATGTCCAAATATAGTAATCTGGGAGAGACTGGTGGAACCCCTGAGACTATCACATTTATTCAGCCTTTGAGCCTGAAATTGACCACTCATCTCTGTAGTTTGCCTTTCTGTCACACAGTTGTGTTGTATTGTCTTGTTATGTACTGTCAAGTCCCTTGTAACTCATAGCAACCCTATGTACAACAACTCTGAACCCTGCTCTATCCTGAGCCAATCTTATTGTGTCTGACACACCTATCCCCATTACACCAGTCACTGAGTCGATCAACCTCATCAACAATCTTCCTCTCTTGCACTGTCCCTCTACCCTTCCAACAGTGGCGTCCCTCTCCACAGACTGGTCCCTCCTTGC